TCTGCTCACAAAATTTTCCTGTAAGTCAGGAATTATTTAAAGTCCTCAAAAGTTCTCTTTTCCAAGAAGAATATGATGACCCAATGTAGGAAATATCTAAGATGTGCTAATGGTTCTTCAGAAATATCAACTCAGGAGTTTACTCTGAAAGAAGCTGAACTGATCAAGTTTCCTTACATTGCTGAAGAGCCATGTCTGAATGCACTCAAGTAATGAATGTGGCATTGATAAGAATAGTATTGTTTTTCATGGGCTTCCCTGCCGGTTTCTATGGGGACAAAGACGCATTTCCCGTTTGAGTGCTATTTGCTGCCCTCTGATTGCACTTTTGTGGTTTCATTCACCAGTAATGGGAAAGCATTCATAGACAGAATAGCTTCCCCTTTTTAAATAGCAATGATTCAGGCTTGATTGTTTTCTTAAGCAATATAATAATGCAGGGTTCTATCAGTGATCTGATAAATGCATAATGCTGTCTTTCCAAGTGTCTGCTCCATCTCTACTTTCTGAATTGAAATGATATACTGTAATTACGCTAGCCTTGAGAAGAAGCTTTACGTTATATAGTAAGTTTTATAAAGCAGATCTTATCTAGCTGTGAAAGCCCGTATTTATCAAATCTTCATGCTATCATTCCCATAGCTAGAGTTGGAACAGAAAGACACAAGCAATTGCTGGAAGTCCAGTTAGAGAATTTGTGGTGCCAGTAACTAGCTGCTTGAAATACTACATGAAGGGTTGTGTCAGCTCAGCTTATGCTGTAGGCTTGGCAGTAGCTGGTCAGCACAATTACTGGCAGCGGTGGCTATAAATCTTAACCGTATAACTATTGATGGCATTTATCTAACCTGAAAGATGGACACAGCTTCCCCAGTTCTTTGCACACCACAGGCCATTTGGAGAAACTAGTGAGCTTGCTTTTCTTGACAAGGGCTGCAGGGATGGGACGTCACCTGGGAATCCAGGTGCTCGTGGCCAGACTGGGACGTCGAAAAGGCATCCTGCAAAAAGGCAGCGGCCAACCCCTTGCACCGTTCTGCTGAGGAAATGGCACAGATGCACTTGCCAGGAATCAGGCTCAAGAGGAAGGGGTCTTTACTTTTTCAGGTTAGCTGTGACCTTTGGTGTGGGCAGAGAAGGTGGGAGAGAGAGGGACAACCCATTTTACTGACTTTTGGAGAAGAATCTTATTCTTTCCCATTTTTTTTCTCAGAGTCGGGTGAATGTTATCTTGCTTCACATCAGTGATGAGGTCAAACAAACCAATACTGTGAATCCTGGCTATTAGTCCTGACTGCATAGTATACCTTATAGCAACAATTCTCGACACTCAGTTAATGCAAGGCTTGCTCGAGGCAGGTCATGATCCTTTCTGGAAACTTGTTATTATTTTTATAATGCATGAAGCATTTGTGTGTGTGTGTGAGGGGGAGAGTGTGTAACACAGATGTTGATCCTTGATGTACTTGCTTTGGTCTCATCCATTCAGCAGAATGAAAACATGGCTACTGCTCCTTTGCTTGATCCTGCTGGAGATTACGGTAGAACAAGTGGATTAATGCCAGCTGTTGTTCAGTGGTCTAGTTTTAAACAAAATCTGCTCTCTTCTGAATGCAGGCCCTTGATTCTTAAATCCAGGAGATGGTAGCTTTGTTTTTTCTGTTTTATTTTGCTGGTATAAATCCAGTGCAAAGATAGTAGCTATTCCAATGTGCATTGTTGAAAGAGGCAGAAGTGTAACAAAAGAAGCAAGCTCTCCTTCATCAATCCCACAATATGTTTGGGATCAGATATCTTGGGAGGAGAGGGAAGAACTGAGAGAAGAGGAGGGAGCGACATTCAGCAAGGTTTTATATCAAAGGACAAAATCAGGAAAATGTAGAGGCCCGGGGAAGTTCTTTTTAAAGGTAACCAAGGCTAAAACAACAAGGGAAGGAAAGTCTGCACAGCATGTTTCTGACATTCTTTTACCAGCAGGCGCCCTAGGAAACATCTGAATTTTGTTCTGGGTAATGAAGTAACGCATTGCCTTCCTCTCCGTGTATTTTCTGCTCCCTCCCTCTATTGCATGTGTGTATGTTTGGGTGTATATGTACATTGGGAAGAGAAGGGCAAGCTGCGTATGCTCTGGGCTGGAAGACATAACCAGGAGGGACAAAGATTCATATGGAGCCATCAGTAGACTTCCAAGTTACTGTCCAGCTGCTTTTCTCATTGCGCTTTTTTTTTTTTCCTGGAAAGTTTTTCTCTGCAGCCCCAAGATGGATCTGGTCTATTTTCAAGCTCACTTTTATTTTTGCTGATTTTTCCCAGCATACCAAATTTGGTCATTTTCTGATCAGTTTTTGGAGAGTTACCCTTCTGATGGACAGGCAGAATTCTGAGCCCCTTTACGTAATTTCTTTCCAACAGTCCATTCAGGAGGAAAAAAGTAAAATGTGCTGTGCTTTCTAGTATTGTTTCATGTTTTATGTCTCTGCAATAATAGGCAGTTCATTGCTGGTGACAGTGGTACAGGTTAATCAGTATTTAAGCAAAGGGACATGTGTGAGCAATCCAGAAGCTGCCATTGAATAAATAGTTTTATAATAAATCTCTGCATGTTTAGTGTGATGCATTACTTCCTTTAAGTGAATGAATATGCCAGAGTTAGCCAACTTATATACCCTTCAGGGGTATTTTATTTTCTTAGGGCTAGCAGGAATAGTTACATTCCCAAAGAACTGATGTTCAAGATTGAGATCAGCTGTAATAAAGTTGGTTTTATTTAGTGTAGTAGTAGAGATTTTGCAGATACTGAGCTCATATGCTTGGATTTTATGAGATCATCATTCACAGGGACTAAGAGCTGTTTACTGATTTCTCAAGCATGGGGAAAGCTCTAACTCAGTTATAAAGCACATGCTTTGCTTGCAAAAATTGCCAGATGTTATCCTTGACATCTCAAAGTTAGCTTTTGTGAGACCCAGCAGAGTGACTGACGACCAGCTACTACAGACAGTATCAAGTAGATGGAGTAACCCTGAGCTATATGGTTTGACTGGAAAAAACACTGTACTGTCTTTCTTTCTGTACACATACAAGGGGGGACCCCCCCCAAAAAACCCCGG